ATTAAATGGGGCACGGACTACTTCATCAAGGCGCACGTGAGCCAGAACGAATTGTACGGACAAGTAGGACAAGGAGATGTGGACCACGCATACTGGGGGCGTCCCGAGGACATGACGATGAGCAGACCCGCGTACAAGATCGATACGTCCCATCCAGGTAGGATTCACTTAAATGACCCTCTGCTTTCTCAATTACAAAACGTATCCTGAGGATACATTCTTCATATTCGAGTCGTAAAATTGGAAGATACACTTCAGATCCTGCGGCGGTGGATACTTCAATTTTAAATGACTGTATAATTAGAATTATAACAGTCCTAAGAACTAATCCAGCACGTACAACGCTCAGCAGCTTAGAGTTCGCCCCGAATGCTTTTAGGATCGGATCTGGCAGGAGAGACAGCGGCCGCCCTCGCAGCAGCTTCCATCGTGTTCCAGAGCGCCGACTCCGGCTACGCCAGCACCCTTCTCACACACGCCAAGCAGCTGTTCGACTTCGCCAACAATTATCGCGGCAAATACAGTGACTCCATCACCGATGCTCAGAGCTTCTATGCGTACGTCTTACTGATTTATGTTATTTGGAAATATCATAAAAATATCGTTATCTGATAAATTTTCGCCATCATAGGAAAGTCTATCAAGAAGCACCTGGAAAGATATCCTCTCATTTACTGATTATGCATGAAGCAAACGATCTACACTTCCTCCATATTGATATTATGATATAGACTAATGTCTTTCTTATATCCCTGCTGGCAACACCACTTGCTCATGAAAAATACCACAGGTTTCCATATCTCTAACACTCAGAATTTCTACATGATGAATTTTAAGTTACTGTACAATTAAGTGTTAGATCAGTGATTTACAGTGCAGCATATCCATAATACTAATTCTGGTTATACCGTTATGATTTCAGAGTTACTAGGGACGGAATATCGAGGTGTATGCTTGATGCTATTCACAATAATGTACTCAAACCGTGTGTAAGAGAATAACGTCTCCTTACTCACAGAATTACTTACAATTAAACTTAAATGTTCAGACGACTTGCTCATATAAATCGGTTTTCTTCCAATCTACAACAGATCCGGCGACTACAAGGACGAGCTGGTGTGGGCTGCAGTGTGGCTGTACAGGGCAACCAACGACAACACCTACCTGACCAAAGCGGAACAGTTATACAACGATTTCGGCCTTGGGAACTGGAACGGTGGTTTCACTTGGGATCAGAAAATATCTGGAGTACAGGTCAGAAAACTGTAGAGAATTATGCACAGTCGAACATTAGTGAGATGATTAACTCTTTTACGAAGACCCAATTATTTACATCTGATAAAATAAGCAATTTAAGTCACGTTTTCCAGGCAAGGAAATACTCGGCCTCATATCGATTCAAATCTCGAATAAATGAAATAGACAGAAAGGGGTGTGACGACTAATCACGAGATGCGATATCGCTTTCGTGAAGGCTCTCCTCAACATAAATGGACGATATCTTCCACAGGTGTTGCTGGCTAAGATCACAGGCAAACAGGCTTACAAGGACAAGGTGCAAGGCTACTGCGACTACATCACGACTTCCCAGCAGAATACACCAAAGGGTCTCGTATACATCGACCAATGGGGCTCCCTTCGAATGGCTGCCAATGCTGCATTCATTTGTGCTCAGGTAATCAATAATTGTGTGGATGGAATATTCACAAGATGTGATCAGGTCTATACAGACGCCAGAAGTATGGAATTATAAATGACTACTCCTTAGCTTCTATACTTATTAATGAGCTTCTGTGCTCTGTATTTGTTGCGTGCGAGCGTTTCTGCTGGAATAAGTCATCGTCACTATCTGTAAGGATGACGATAATTACAAAGAAAACACTATGTTCTGTGGAAACGTTCAGACATGGCCAAATATGAAAGATTTAACCGAGCAACAACCCAAAAATATATGGATAATCGTATGCCCTTACACCCCCTATATAATATTTAAGAAACTGGAGGGTTCTTCCTAAAGATAAATATCTTGGGAAAGGAGAAAACATAGTCGAACACAACGCATTTCGGAACAACTTATAGAATGATGCGTTTGATAATACCTACATTCTTCATTACCATAAATAAATTAAGCGGGCATACTCTAGAGATATGAAATGTGTTTCAGGGAGCGGATTTGGGTATCAATGCTGCTATTAATCGTGCATTTATCAAGAAGCAGGTCGATTACATATTGGGAGATGCTGGACGCAGCTTCATTATAGGCTATGGCTATAATCCACCCACTCGCCCGCATCACAGATCCAGGTAAGTGCCACTTTTAAGTTTCCAGTATCTCATTCAGTCGTTAATTAAATAACCTAAATAATTCTATAACTAAAAGCCAGTGTTTGTGCTGCTGCTCTAGTCTGTGGTCGAAATGAAATACTTCAGTGTGCTAATAACTTATCGCTAACTTCGGTATCTTAGCATATTGCACAGTGTCATATTCTACATCTGCAAGACGCCTTCAGCCTGGCAGACGCTTTCTCATTTCGCGATGTCCCGGTGTTTTCTCAATTGAGAAGAGTGCCACGAAGATCTTGCCCATCGTTCTCCCAGTAATGGTAAAGAATTACACTCGTTACAGTTCTCAATCCATACATTGTTACTTCAGTTCGTTTCGATCTGAATGTCTTTCTCCGCGAAAAATTGATAATAGTCGATGAAAATCGTAGCGAATGATGAACCTACGGCTCCTGGAATATGTTGCATGACGGGATGGAGTAACTACATACCCAGAGAAATGAAAACTGTGGGGGACTCCAGAAGGTAAACAATGTTCGGGTGTATCGGCCGAACCACAAATTACGTCATCCGAGACGCGTGTTCACGAGTTACTTCCAGAATTTTATTGAAATCCTACTAATATCGTCACCTGGGATTCGTTGTTTCTAGAAAATTGCACAAGACTCAGAAATGTAATGGAACAAAAACCACGTATTGCCTCCGCGATCTATGCTTGAAGTACAGATGTACTGATCTCACGAAAATTACAACGACCCTTGCGTATTATATTTTTGTGAACCCGTGTATATGCATATAGTTGATTTATTTTTTTGTAGAATAAGTGGATAATTACATGTTTGTAAGAGCAGGCTTTTCCTTCTGCTTTATGGTGTTACATGAACGACTCATAAATTCGCACACGCATATATCTGTTGAGTTCCATTTCCCTACTGAGACTTTCTTGGCCATTAGCAAAGAAAATACAAAAGGCAAGCTGAAAATCAATGGCAGCGAAGAGTAAACAGTATTACATTTCGAACCAATCAGGTAACAACTGTGTCCGCCGATGTAAAAGTCAAATAATATTAAATACGTGTGACGGGTTGGACAGACACACAAGCAAACTTTTCGATAGTGAATAAAATACTGACAGAACGGGGAAGGAAGACAAAGAAAATACGAAAAAACCCGGACATAACAGTTGTAGCAGTGGCTGTATGTGAAACTGATGCCGGATACAATGTGCTTTATTCTCATCCTAGCTCTTGCCCCGACGCCCCAGCGGTGTGTGACTGGAACACATACAACAGCGCCAGCCCCAACTTCCACGTCCTGACCGGAGCCTTGGTGGGCGGTCCTGATAGCAACGACAACTACAAGGACGAACGCAGTAATTACATCTCCAACGAGGTCGCCATAGATTACAACGCCGCGCTTTTGGGTGATCTTGCCTACTTGATAAAGAATAATCTGTAATAGTGCACCAATCAGTTTGGTCTTATACGACTGATGTGTGCAAACATTGAGAAAAAACTTTTAGCGTTAAAACGGAACCTTCAATAATTTTTTCCCTTAAGTTACGTGTATTTTATGTACAACATTCTTAGTGTTTTTAACTGTAGTATAACGAGCTAAATCGGCCACATTATGGACGCTTCAATTTGTATACAAACCACAAAGTGGCGTATAAGCCGGAGAATATGTTTTGTTTTAAACCGGAACTTACAATATTAGGCCCAACAGTCACATCTTGTAACACACTTGTAGGCGCCACAGATATAATGCTAAAATAAATCAATTAAGAGGTAAATGTATTTGCAAACGCCGAGGAAAAAGTTGTAGAGATTTCTACCTACACAAATCGTAGGATTCAGAAGTAGAACAGAAGACGTACAAGTAAATGCTAGCGCCTGCAATAATCTGTTTCGATTCCACGCCGCACGCAGCTGTCAAAGAAGTTGCCGCATTAACACGGGAAAAGTACAGCAACATGCCTGAAGTTAAGTCTATGCCATTTTCACATTTCCATGCTTGATAATATGGAAAGATGTCCGAGTGAGCAAGTGTCTATCTGAACAGCTAAACTATTTCCAGTGTATTGATTAAAGTCTTATAATGACAGCATAATACTCCCCAACATAAGCATTTCAAATGACTGAAATGTAACCAACAGTAAATGCACCGAATATATGGTCCCGACATATGACTTGGTTAGGTCGTTAAAAAATTAGAATCTGATAACTATTGTTGCAACGTAAACAAAAAGAAATTTGCAGGAAAAGTGATTAGTGTAATGCACACATCTGTAAACATAGGGATAAAAAATTAATATAAAACGAATTTTATGAGCAGTAAATTAAATCTGAAATGATTATGCAAGTTATATATATGTGTAGTAAAATGGAGATGGTCAACATGTCTCAACATGCAATGTCTAAAAAAAAAAAGGTGTTGTACCTGGAATATTTTAATGAATAAAAGTAAAAAGATATTTCATCTCTTACATATAGACAATGAAATGTGAAGTAATTATAAATTTTGTGACTTATCGTTACAAATGGGATATTATTCTAAGTTACCATGAAATACTCCACAGATATTTATTTTATTATTTAAGTTTGCCAGTGCTGTGACATAAAACAAATGGGCAAACACAATGATAAACAAGTTATTAATCAGAAGGAGGGGGTAGAAAGCTTTTGTACTTACATGGGAACACCAACTATCGACGTAAACTAGTCAAGAGCTGCAACGAAACTGCATGTCAGTGAAAGAACGCATTACCTAAACCGGTTTAATGCTGTGTGTTTTGATTAAAATTTCATAGATGGGGTTGATAAGGTCCGAATAAGATTTGTTAATGTAAGTGCCTCTTTTACTAAAATATATATATGAACATTTTCTGGAATATTCATGTATTGTCCCTTGGTAGCCACATACAAAGTTGTCATGGTATTCTCTGTTGTGTGCTGGGTATCCAGAAGGAGTTGAGCGCACCTTGAATTAGTTTTGTTTCTTCTTATGGCTTAGACATGTTCTCTACACCGGGTCTGATAGACGTATTTAATGGGGCAATCCTGGCATGTTATTGACATATCATTAATAAAATACAAATTCTAAAATTTCGGCCTATGGAGACCTCTGTCACTCCGCTCGCCCTGTCTCTTCTAAATTGTAACAGAATGCCCCAAAACCACAGAGCCTAATGCACGAACGAGACGGAGATAAGTTACCTGGAGGCAAAGTATGGCTTGGTTATGACCTTGAAGCAGAGCTTTTAAATCAGGGAAATCGGTTAAGGTCCCATTGTAACAGGTCCATAATAAATGGCAAAAAGGACTATTAAAAAAACTAACACAACAGTCACGGCAGGATGGGACGAGTCTTCAGTCTGTGGCGTTCGCGTGTGGTGAACTCATGGTCCCAAATTAAATTCTTTAACTTTCAGTCGGTTTAACACATAGCACTGACCTCTGAACGTATGACTACATGGTTCATGTGTTGTTTGGAGTGCGAATAAATGTTTATTACATACGCAAGTACGGACATTCAAAAATAAATATTATCAAAGTGCCCATAGTTTGCTTTTCATTGGCCAAGGCTCGGGACAGAATGACACATTCATCTCATGAACTACTGTTGTGTTTACCAATAAAAATTTGAAAACTTAATTTCATCATGATTATCGACATGTTAAACAGGCGAGCTAAACAGATAGCAGAGCAACAGAAAACTAGCGCCTTCCTATTTAACAATAAAGCAAAAGGACATTAAAATATTCAAGTTAAAAATATAGTAAAAGTTAGCTTCTTAAAAAAATTTAAAGCACTAAATCGAGCATTACCGAGTAAACATATCGACTGCCAACACAAAAATACTCTTCTGTGCTATTTGGTGTGCTGAGTTCACACACAAACCTGGTACGTCATTTAACCCGAAGTTGGCTGCCCTTGTATAAACTAATAGCACGAGTAGCAATTAGTATTATATGTGACTTACTTCCAAAGTCTTCACTGGGTGTATGTTCCAATAAACGGGCCTTCAATCTCAGGTCGTCAGTGGTGATGAACTCTGACTGGAAAACCGTAAGAGAACCCACAGAAAACATACTTTTGCACACAAGTCTTGAACACCGCGCCCTCTCAACACGCCATTTTCCACTTAAGTAGAGTACCAACATGACGAACGTAACGGCGATAAATACAAAATCATTGTTGGAATACAAGTCAAAACACAACTAAATCATTTGATGTTATTTTAGGTTTGTCTCCCGTACTTCAAACGTCAAAAAATAGTTCTTAAGGAACTGGTTTGTCATCCCTTTTCTCGATTAAGCCACATGCTTTTGAAACCTAATGATCAGTAAATGAAGATTGTTTCATCGTCCACCATCCCAACCAAAGAATAAATAGTAACAAGTCTCCGGAAGAGTCGGGGATCAGTGTTTCTCGATGTATACGATGCGAGCTGAGAAGATTCGGTTTAAACGATAAACGAGCTTACTTTAATCAAGAAGCGCGTTTTACCTTCCCAGCAGTAGCATTCAATTGATCTGTATATAGCATGTTTTTTCATTATATTCTTTTCAGTACATTGCATACTGAATGTTAAAAAACGAGAGGCCCACATTTTAAATGCAACGTTTTTACTGGGTGTATTAATTTTCCTATTTGCCTAAGTTTGTTGTATTGTTTCACCTGGCAACCATATTAAAAAAGTCCCCCCCTTCCTGGAACTGTCTGTAACAGCTTACCATAGATGAATTACGAGTAACAGATACATGTTTGCGGTCTGGAAGCTCTACCAAAATCCAATCTCTGGAAATACTTCATGGGAGTGCCTGCCAATGACACCTAACCTAACTTCATCCACTCCAAACTTCTCCAACACACATTTCAACATCTACCTCCAGTTTTTCATATATCTCATACTTAAATAAATTCCACTCAAAACTCTGTTTTTCTCAACTCTAATGTATGCAATAAAGTCCTGCTATCTCAGCCTTCTTCTTTATATCACCCTAACAAGGGTGAAGAGTAATATTTATTACTCAAGTCATTCTTTGGAATTTCAGTGTACCTAGTCAGTTCAACTTCAACAAACGTCAACTTATTTTTTCCAGAATTATATTTGGTGCCCTTTAGAGATTCTAAGCCACTGAATCCAGATCTGACAACAAAAATTCTGTAGCATGTATGTTTTTAGAAATAAATAAAAACTTCTAATATTTAGGAATTTAATCACTTTTATTTGCTAAAATGTTACACAGCTGATATAAGAACTATTATCCCTTACTCTTATTCAGGGTGATAGTAAACTGTGAAAGGAAAAATAAAGCTATAAAAAGTTGTTTACCCTTGTACTGAGAAAACTATGTAATAGAAATGGAAAATATATGTTTATATTTAACATGTTCAAAATCTCTTTCTGTGATAATTCATGGCAGAAGTATAATATTACCAACTACTACCCACGCAGAGATGCGGCCTGACCAGCTGCCACTTGGCTGTAGCCCCCTCAAACAAACAGAAAGTGGCCAACAGATTGATAAGAGCGAATGTGGTCTCAGGTCCTGAAAGGTTGACAACCACTGTTCCAAAGTTTACAGCCATGGCTATGCATGTAGAGTATCAAATTCAATATATTTTACTTCATTATGGCTTATGCCCCATGTCAGTGGTACGTGACTGGAAAGCATACATCAGTCAAGATATCAATTTATACACATGCATTGGAGCCTTGGCGAGTGGTCCAGACAGCAGCAACACCTACCAGGACTGTGTAAGATTTGAGGTTTTCACAGCGGTGAGTATGAAGATTTGTCTTCTGGGTTGTTGTGCTGTGTAGTCTGGTCGATGTTAACTAACGTCTCAGAGGTCATACTGCCTGTCATCAGGGCGATGAATATGCACAACAACCCAGAAGACAGAAATCTTCATACTCACAGCTGTGAAAACCTCAAATCTTACAAGATTCTATATTTTCAAATCACATTATCATGTGGCCCCCTATGTAATTGCCAGTACCATAGACTACAGTGAAATGAAGATGTTTTCAAAAGACCAATAATTAAACATCTGAGGTAATTTTTACATTTGGAAAATGGTAAAAAAAGATATCGGCTGCCAGATTTGTGAGGTGTTACCTGGAACTATTTCTGACAGGGGACAGCTATGAAAATCCCCCAGAAAATAAGTCAACAGGATTTGTTTCAGAGCCCAACTGTCACAAGCATAAGATGAGTGCAGCTACAAATAACTTTTCCTTTGGAAAAAATAATGGTCTGAGTAATGTTCAATACAGCACTTGATTCTTATCATTTGAACCAGGCCCAAACCAAGCCCAGAACTAACCGTTATCTGAGCTACTGGGCCCAGGCCCCAGGCTGAGGCCCAGACCTATACAACATGCCATCACCCAGAAACAGTATCCACATTATCACAGAATTGAAATTAAAGTCTCATGTCTTCTAAATGGCTTCATAATCTTTCTGTTCATCTAAGTTAATTTCTCAATTTATCTTCGTTTTTGTACATTTCTTTCTCCAGGAAAGAGTTACCCATCATACAAGAGATAACAACCACTGGAAGCAAACACAGACATGCATTAGAGTTTTAAGGCTCGTTAAATACTTTTAATATATTAAGAACTTTGGTCTCTCTTCCTTTTCCGGTTTAACAATGTTTCTACTTTTTCCGGTACCCTTTACAGGTCCCCAACTTTTTATTACTTGGCTTGAATTATGGACATTCGGTAGGACTCCTTGGATGAGGGATCGGTCCATTGAAAGGCCTCTACCTGTACACAGGACAGCACAACACAGAAAAACATCCATGGCTTGAGTGGGATTCAAACCCACAGTCCCCGTGACCAAGCAGCATAAGGCCTATGCCTTAGACCGCGCGGCCACTGCGGACCCCAAAACTTTGGTCTCACTAAATTTTAAAGAAATTAAAAAATAAAAGTCACATCAATCAGTACTTTTACTATTATTGTCTATTTAGTATGCCCTGCCAAATATGTTTTGGCTTCATGGAAAGATCATCAGTGGCTGTGTATCTAAATATCTGGTTAAAACACAGAGCCAAAACACATATGGCACAGTAAGAAAATAAACAGCCGACAATAATGGGATAATTAACTGGCTGATGTAACTTTTGTATACAACTTGGCATGACAGATTTTAAAATTAAACAAAGAGTTTAAAAAAAAATTAAAAACTAACTAATTGCACTTAGGACAGCCCACAGTTTATGAAAACTGAAGGTTCATTACTATATTCACAACAGCCAACTACTGAACCCAATACTGTGTCAGATGATCAGTCCACATCCTCACATCCTATTTCTTCAAGATTTATTTTAATAGTATCCTCCATACTTCTCAATACTTACACTGACTCTATTGATATGATCTCCGTTAGTCACACGGTTTTTTATCCTCCTTTGTACTTATGAAGTAGATACATAAATACATATGTGCTCTGTCCATCCATTTTCCTCTTATATTTAACACATTTTAAACTGCCTGGAAATATCAGTCTACAACTGTAGTTTGGTCATTCTGTCAACCATGTAAGCTTCGGCAACAGTACTTAGAAATATTAATATCCCCTTTTTCCATACATTCCCTAAAACTCTTCTTCATCTGTGCCAAGTTTGATTAGGATGTTCAGGGTATTGGTACCATGCAGACTTGTCAGCAGATGTCAACATTTCAGAGAAACATGAAGTCAGCATCTTCAGGGCTGAAACTGGAGGCAGTGTGTTTCTCTGAAATGCTGACATCTACTGACAAGTCTACATGGCATCAAAACCTGTATCATCATCATCTTCACTACCATGAAAACCTCAAATCTCACATACTACCCGAGGTTTATTTACTAGCTTTTGTATAAACAATGACAACAAATGTTAAACCCTGCATCACATTGAAAATAACTGACCTTGGGCATTTTTCACTTCAAAAGCTTCTATCAACAAGTCTTAATCTGTTCTTTACCTTTGTTTTAAAACACTAACGGGCACAAGTTAAAAGTCGATGATGTCGCATATATTCTGGAACAATGTCACTCAGCCACTCAGGGTCAACCTCTGTAACCTGTCTCAAATAGCATCTTCCAGTCTGTACAACTTCAGTAAATAAAACACAATGAGGTTGAGAACCATACAGTACCGATGAAGGGTGGATGGCAACTGTCTGTCGCGATTCCACCTGGTAAACAAGTCAAGGAAAGAAAATATTCTCAGACAAATATAATCCAATTTGTTTTTATGAAGGTCACCAGAACAGTTTTAAGACACAACCAACAGATCTAAATGCACACTTTAAAAGTTCAGAGCAGGAGCTTTCATAATTTACGAGGTGCGATCGGAAAGTTTCCAGACTGCGCCTATAAAAACCCGTACACTTATCTCAGGTATTAAATTCATCCATCACCCTCGAAGTAGTTCCCCTGGGAGTGAACACAACGAGGAAGGGCCGTGAAGTCCTATGAGATGAGAAATAACTTGCAGGACACCAATACTGATATTTCCATGTCCAGTTGTTTGCAAGAAAGCCGTCACCCTAACAGGTTTAATTCGTGACAGCCCCCGTCAGAGTCCGGGACACCCTGTCCATCACAAAACTGTTACGTATTTTGACAATCGATTATGACGTATCAGCACAAATAACTGATAACAGTTTCTTTCGACCTCTAACTGGCGGTAATTTACGCGAAGACCACTATCGCCCTGCGGGTTGAAATAACTCAGCCAACCTTCTAAATATGTACAACAGATGCGTATGCATTTAAGCAGGCTTATGTATTAAGCTGTGTCCTAAATACGGGTCAACGCAGTTTCCATTTCAGGCACCTCGTATTTCAGGTTCTTCTTTGATGTTACGACGATTTGTTCATGAAAATCCGCCATTCCGAAATCGCAGGAGGGTCGGTGTAATGCACTACCAAAACGCCCGTAACTAAGAAACAAATGCTAATTCGATGATGCCGGCTGGCACACTGATTCGCTATGAATGTAGGCCGCACCGCCTAGCGGCAGAAGCTCGTACTACATCCGGTTCGCCCCCTATTGACACAGTCTTTAAACTTTCCGATCGCACCTCGTATATGCTTGATAAAAGATTTCAGGATGATGAAATCATGGAAGATGGGAATGAAACATGCATGGAAGCAATGTGAAACACATACATTTTATCTGGAAAATCTGAGGGAAGACGTAGTATAATATTAAAACGGATTTTAAATAAGGTCTAAGGATGTCAACCGGACTACTCCAGTTGTCTTGAATTTAGATTTTAAATGCCAGTAAAGTGGAACAAATATTTTTCCAAAATTTTGACCCCGTCCTAACTCATATCTAAGGTCTGTTATACTTTTCAGATTTACTTCCACAGTAACAAAACGCCTAGTTTCTTTATGTGGACACAGACATTAATGTGGTAGGAAGCCAGAAGCATGCCTAATGTACATATACAAAATTCTTAAGCAAGAAAAGAATGAAGCAAACCAAGCCCTTCTCACAGTAGCAGATTTGACACCACGCAGCCTTTCAAATATATTAAGTATATGAAACAATGTAACGTAACTTACAGTCAGATATTGCCGTTCTCTCTGTAGTTCAGCTATGTTCATGAATAAACCAGTTACGAGACACTTTCTCACTTGATCCATATTCTGGCCACAAGAGGATATACGCAACTTGCATCGCTGACAAAGTTCAGCCAACTGAGAGCGAACTTCGCTTGCATACTGAAGGTTACGCACATTTAAGAAATTCTCATGACACCATTGCTGTAAAATTTAATTCTGACTTAATACACAAATTATCTAAACTCCACTATGCTAACTTAAGATACTGGACATAGGAGGCACTACAATGAGGGGTGTGAACAGCATGAGGAAGAGTGATGAGGATGGGTAGAGGTGTGCCAACTTGGAGTTGGGAGAGATAGCACCAACTTAGAGGTCAGGTAAAGTACCTGAAAAATTTGTGATGCATACAAGTGCTGATGAAACTACAATGTTTAAATTTTGTAAAATAAATATACCTTTGTATATACTATTTTGTTTTTAACAAAACAGATGGGGTCATTATGGATGCTGTATAAAATCCTTCTGTCTCCCGAGCCAGCTTCTCTCTGGTCTGGTTGCTAAGAAACCTACATTGACTGCTGTTTTATCACTAGGAGACCATATGCAATTTTTATGCAAAATCAATCTATTTTCTATTTCCAAGACTTACCACCATGCAGCAACAGAACAGTATATTGCCATTTATGAAACCCTGTAATTCACATGCTGCCTTAAGCACAGCATGCAATAAAATATGGATGATAATTTACATATTTCAGAGCTAATATTAATTATCTGGACTCTGTACATACCTTCTTCTGAGTAACAGTGCTGAAACTTCTATATATATTGAGCAGAGTAATGTGATCGCCTGATGATGAAACAAACTTTCCATGAGCCACTACTGCCTGCTCACGTTTGCTGGGAGGTATGATAAACACCGATTCACTTGACAACAAGGCCACTATACTTAGAATTTCCTCTCTGAAATCACAACCAGAAATCAATTTAGACTGTGTAATGATAGTGATGAATTTTTGGTATTCATGCTTCAAAGAAGTTTTGAACACTTGAATAACAACTGTTTAAGAAAGGGTTCATACTATGGGGTTGATCAATTTGTTATGCTCTTATTTTCCTTATTCCTGTAACAAACAAAGGGTTAAGAGTATCAGAGTAACCTTTCCTAAAATAACATGACTATTATATGGTATGAAGCAGTGTAAAATAGCATACAAGACGACAGAACATCTATGTGTACATAAGCGTATGGTATATCATGGAGTTGTTAGTTTCTTTCAGTGATTGATGGGTTACATGGCCACAAAGGAAAAATACATGTGACCAAAACAAGTTCTTACCACACCATATTTTCTTTCTGTTTAAATGGCAAAATTACAAAACAAATTTTTAAATGATACAGTAAAATGTGAACTTGTGTTTGGAAAATAAACAAAAGGAAAGCATACAATAGAGATGTTGGGGAAGAAGTTACAAAAAATTGTAAGAATATAAGATAGGTTATCATGGCAATGAAGATGCTGATGGTCTTCTGAGCTGCAATGCCATGTGGACTTGTAAGTGGTAACAATGTTTTGGAGAACATAAAACATACTAAGCAGGACATCAAACTTTACAAACTGTTCCCTAAATTTTGCCACTAACATTAGGAGCACAAAAGTAAACCATGTAGACATTTAAACAAAAGGTGTGCTACACAAATTTTATGAGTTATTAATACTTTTAGCTCAAATAACTATAGTAAAAATTATTTCAGAAGAAAGATGAAAGTGTTCTGTGTTAACAAGTTGTATGTAGTGTAGCATAACTTCTAAATAAACTGTTCTTTAAAATTAATATTTCTGCTTTTTTACATGTATGCACTTTGTATTTTGACCACAGATTAATTTTATAAAATAATTTACAGTAAAACTTCATTAATTCAGACCTTCTATAATTATAATTCGCCTTTTTCATGTATGACTTGATATATTTACACATAATTATGTTCTGTAATTTGGGCTTTTCACTAATTCAGACACCTCCGTCACCTAATAGTCAGAATTAGTGGGGTTTTACTGTAAACAGTTTAACAGCTTTAGGATGTATTTCAAGATGAAAGCTCAGGTTCAACATCAGAGACTGCAAGTTCAATATGTTTCTCCAAAACACTGGTATCTACCTATGAGTCCACACGGCATCACAACCCAGAACAATAACATCTTCAGCGCCTGAGAACCTCAATCTCATTTAAGATATATAAGTTCATATATCTCCATTAAAACGTATATTAAAGAAACTAAACGTGAAATGGGTAGTACTAGTTGAAAAACAGGTCTAATAACAAAATTCAGTGATGACTGTTTTCAATGTTAATGTTCATTAACAGAAAGGAATAAGGTAAATAGTGCTATAAGTTGTTATTTTTATCTTACTTACAAGCAACCATAAACTTCAGCTGAGAGCAAAATCTTGCTAAAGCGTGGGTCAAGTGGAAGCAGAGCCATTCGGTGTCCCAATTTCGTCAGCTTAGTGCCTTCTGCAGTATCAATAGCTCCAAGTTGCTTCAACTGCCATAGTGCACCATTCACAGACTAAAAAGTATATAAATCACAGTATGAAGAAACTGATATTCACAAAGAACTTGTATATGCATAAAGAAGTAGTATAACTTCATTACAGTATGCTACATCAAACAGATGCATGTATGAAGATTTCCATCTTCTGGGTTGTTGCGCTGTGTAGTCTGGTCGATGTTAACCAACATTTCAGAGGTCATACTGCCTCCGTCGTCAGAGTGATGAAGATTTCTGTCTTCTGGGTTGTTGCGCTGTGTAGTCTGGTCGATGTTTACCAACGGTTCAGAGGTCATACTGCCTCCGCTATGGGGCGCTGATGATGGAGGCAGTATGACCTCTGAAACGTTGGTTAACATCGACCAGACTACACAGCGCAACAATCCAGAAGACAGAAATCTTTATACTCACTCACATTTTCCAAACTTTTAGGGGTTAACCCTTTTACCCTGGCACTAACCTCTGAAACGTTGGTTAACATCGACCAGACTACACAGCGCAACAACCCAGAAGACGGAAATCTTCATACTCACCGCTGTGAGAACCTCAAGTCTTACAGAAGCATGTATGTTTACTTGCTCTTTTTGTCGGCTTATTTCTTCTTCCAGTTATTTTCTATTTCAAATCTCTTATTTTTTGCACTAAATAACTATAGAAAAACTTACCTCTCTTGGTGGCATATCCATGAAGTCAAACGTTAATGTGTCAATCTTAAGAGCAAGGAGCTGTAGTACAACATTTGTTAAGTTACATCTCTGAATTTCTGGGATGGAATTTTTCAACATTGTATTAAATTCCTGAAAATATATGCACATCCTTCAATAAAAGTAAACTGTATCTTATATAATGTTAACATCTCCTTATCCCTTCTTTAAAGTTGTGTCAATTTACTATACAACTAAAAGATCATGTATTTCTCCATTTAGGCAGGCATTTCCTGGAATCAGGCAATTATCATAAGATCTTGCTAAATAACATACTGTGCTTTGTTGTAGCATGGTAATTTCCAGAGGAGACTTGAGAAAATCAAGGAAACCATCTTTCAGGCTAGCCAGTGCTTCAGCCAAGATTCAAATCAGGTAATCTCCTAAATATTCATCTTCAACTGTGACAACATATACACTGAACTAACTTGCAGTTTCAAATGGAAGCCTCATACCTGCCGTGTATAAACTCGGTAACAGAAGCCAGATGACTCTCTGCCAGCTCTTCCTGCCCGTTGCCATGCCTGAGCCTGTGATATCCTTTGGACTTTTAATATGTCTAGCCCAGTTCCTGGATGATGGGTTCTGATGATAAACAGTGCATCACATTACAAACAGAATAAATAACTCCTTAAAGTAGAATCCATCTTGAAAAGCTGATAACTGTTCAACTTATCCTGAGCGAGTTACATCCAGTTCACCTCCAACCCTGCTGCTTCAAGACCCACTTCATGTTATCCTTCCATCTATGCCTGGGTCTTCCAAAAGATCTCTTTCTTTCAGAAATTATGCGCAAAGAACTTAAAATAATATTTTTTGAAACCTGCTAAATTTGAATTACAATGCAGGATAACAAATGAATTATTACATCACTGGTAAAACATATTTCACCAGTGAGGTACATCCAAGGTAGAGATGGACAGGGCCTGTGACATACATTCAAAATTTTTGCTGGAAGAGACTACTTTGAATGCACAGATGAGACAATAATATTGAAACTAACCTTGAGAGATATTAATTGTAAAGATATAAGTTACATTCAGCTGGCTTTGGGTATGGTCTCATGACAGGTTTTATGAATATAGTGATGAATGTTTTGAGTATTACTACAAAGAATTTTTTTTATCAATTCTTCAAGTGCTACTTACCTAACCTTAACCATGCCACTGTCAATGACGTACTTGATTCCGCTAATTGTAACTGAAGTCTCAGCAATGTTTGTACTAAGAACAACTTTTCTCGCTCCCTGAGGAGTGGATCTGAACACATCCAATTGCTGATGAGATGGCAGAGATGAATATAAAGGGTACACTTTCAGACAGGGGTAAGTGCCCTCCAGATCCTACAGATAAAATATACTGTCACATAAACACTTCTCAAAATATTCAGTAAATAATGAAAAGTTCCATACAGTTTATTTAAAAACAAAGCATTAAGAAATATTTAAATTTACCAGTAATTAATAAATACACTTTCTTGCCCGACATGAATTGACAAAACTTCCCCAAGGAGTTAAAAGCTTTCACTTGATTTTCAAATATCCTTAAATGAAACTCACCTTTGCTATAAGTCTAATGCTATGTGCCATAGCTTCAATTTCTTCTTGACCAGTTAAAAACACTAATATGTCATGGCTGAAAAAAAAACAACACTTTCATTAGCTAAATATCAAAAGCAGTGACACATAGTTTCTACACAGAATAAGAGAATAATACCCACACTAAGCAGGTTAACATGGCCATAAGTGTCACAATAGGAGATAACCTAATTCAAATCATGGCCAAGGACTGTCTATCCTAAGTGAGATTTTAGTGGGTCTTGTGGTCTTCTGGGTTGTAACACCACACAGTCTTGTAGCAGTTACCAACATTTTGGAGTAATGTATTGTCTCCACCTTCAGAGTAAAAAGTAAAGTAAAGTAAAGTTTGTCCCACTATACGCCATGTAGGCTCTTGGGGGGAGTGGAGGTATAGCTCCTCTCTTCCTTGACCTCAGCACTAGATGGGGGTGAGTGGTCAGCATCACGCCCCGGCCAGCTTTACCCCTGGGAAAGGACCCTGGTACCCATTGTAGAGGAGGCTGGGTGGGCCCCAGAGCCAGTCTGGATGCAGAGGCTAGAGGAAAAATCCTCTGCCCCCGTCGGGGATCGAACCCCGGTCGTCCAGCCCGTAGCTAGTCACTATACTGACTGAGCTATTCCGGCTCATCTCCACCTTCAGAGTACAACTGAGAAAATTCAGTAAATTCCCTCAGTTCTTCCATGTGATTCAAAGGATAATACCTAACAAATAGATCACACTGCTTGCCTCACACATAAGGCCTTTCAACAATCAACTAACAATTTTCACTCAATGTTACATAACCTAGTATAAGATACAAAATCATAAAAAGAAGCTCAAACTGACTTCAACTCAGCAGTATTGCAACCACTTCATATTCTGGAGGTAAAAAGTGAGCACTTTGGCCAAACCATTGATTATTCTGATGTCCTGTATTGTTCTGTTCTTCTTAGTGAATGCTATGACAATTTCAACTCACTCAATTCATAAAGCAAAGGCCTCCTTGTAAAGCTTATAGTTTTTCACCTGGCCAAGAAATACCCCATCTTTTATGGAACCAAACAATCCATTACCCTCAGCCAGTTCAATCCACTGCACACCCTCACATGCTATCTCTTTATCTTAAAGAAAACAATAACATTATCCTCCCCAGTAGTTTCTTTCCTTCAGGTTTTCTGACTAAAATTTTGTATGCATTTCTCACCATCCCCCTGAATGCTGCATGTCTTGCCTGTTTCAGCTTCCTTGATTCAGTCACTCTAATAATATCTGGCAAAGAGAACAAATTATGAAAAAATAAAATTCCTCATTATGTATTTTTCTCCATCCTCTTGCTACTTACCACATCTTATGTTACAGTTACTGCTATGCATGCACCAGTTTTACTGCTACTGTCAGACTAAAACATTTCTGAATTTGCAATGCAGAGACTAGAAGCTTGAGATAAGTGGTCAATGTTTTCAGTTCCAGTAACATGTAACAGCAGACATTCTCTCTCCTTGTGACAATAGACACTTCTAAATATAAACAGCATCCAATGTAATGATATAAAAGGCAGACACTATGAGTTCATCATGCACATACTTCGCTGGTGCATCCCGATGTATCTGAAATATCGTGACCAAACAGCTGAAAACGTAGTCATCCTGAGTCTGTACCGCATGAAAAACTTGGATTGGATGCTGCCTTCCCTCCAAATATAATATACGAGCATTGCCAAAATAATCACTGAAGTGATCAACATCCATTGTAGCAGACATTACTACAATCTGAAAAAAAAATTGAGAAAATTTCTTTTCCATACACCCATAAAATGGAATATTTTTTTTTGATTTCATTCCACGATGAATGGCAGGAGCAGTTAAAAGAGTAGCTATATGACCTAATGAAGATAACGACCTTTTAAATTAAAAATTCACTCCCATTTGGCTACACACCTTCCAATCACAACATAAGATTCCCTCATTACTCACAACTATAAACAACACTGCTAGGTATGGTGTTAGTCACTTTACCTTCAAGATTATGACAGTAAACTTCTTTGAAATGATGATAAACCAGCTTTTCATCATCAAGCAAAACCAAATTATCAACAAACCACCATCAAAGCCTAAAACTTTGGTTGTAGACAAAATATGAATATTTGAAAAATGGGCTCTGATATAAACCCTGCAAAATTATAAAATTTCATCTCAGAGGAAGTATAAACTTATGATCACCTAAAAGAAAGGAGAATGATTACGTTATCATTCCTGTAACAGGCCACCTAACCCCAAGAGTGAAAACCAAGATTCTTTATCTTTTACATTTATATACACATACAAACAAACAAAGATCTACTCTCTGACCTTCAAGGGCTTCAGATGTTTCTCTTTTCTAAGTGCTTGTGCCTGCTTCACAATTCCGAACAACACATCTGTATGCACGGTCCTCTCATGAGCTTCATCTAACACAATTATGCTGTATGACATTAATAATACATCTGGAAAAGACAAAAAAAAAACCGCTGTAAAACAACCTGTTAAAACACTATAAACCTCAGTCAGGACAACCTCGTAACCACTGAATTCAAGATATATACCTCACCACTTTACAAATCTGCTTGTTCATGGGAATTTATAGTGAAGTCTGATCTAATACAGACTTACAGACATACACAAAGCAGTGACATGCCTGTAATTAACTGATTACATATGTTTATCAATCTTAGCTTCATACTACAAATCTTTAATGTTTTGAACTAAAATTAAAAACAAAGAGAATCTCACCTAACATTGCTTCTCGAAGTAACATGCCATCAGTTAGGTATTTTAATTTTGTGCGTTCTGATGTAACATCTTCAAACCTCACGGAGTAACCCACAGTAGCTCCTAGATCAGAATTCATTTCTTGTGATACACGCTGAGCCAGAGTTATGGCGGCTACACGCCGTGGCTGAAGAATAGAATTTACAAAATCATATAAGGTACAATCAAAACAATTCTGGTTAAGTGTGAATAACAGAATGAGCCAACATAAACTTGCCTGCATGCATGCTTGCCAGACAGGCAGATGACAAGAACTACAATAATGAATCAATTAACAAATCTAATCATCAAGGTAATTGTTTTGGTCTTCTTGAATCACCAGAAACCCCAACAAATAAATAACTAAATCTGCTCAGCAAATAGTCACTCAGCTGGTCAAGAAATTCCCTGTTCTCTACGAAATTCATTACCATGTTCATAACCGTCCACCACTGGATTCTACCCTCAGCCATATAAATCCAATCTATAACCTCACAGCCAATTTTTTAACCTTTAATTGTCATTATTTAAATTCCAGGCACACTGCTGGCTTCTACTGTCTTCGCCAGTTTCAACTGTCAGTGACAAAATGCAGAATTTAATTAACGAAGTTATATTTTTAAGGTAGAAAATTGAAATAAGAACAGATTATTAAGAATGAATTAATGTACCTGTAATACAAACATCTCAAATGACAATTCTTTATATATGCAGCTTAATTTACATTGCATTTGAATAACATGCATTTCTTTCAGACATTTCTATTATTTATTCCATGAAATAAAAGAAAAGTAATCATAGCATTAAAACTGAGCCAGAACTTATGAACACTCCTGTACATTATCTCAGAACTCACATGTTAATTATCATCATTGTTATGCAACCCCCCCCCCCC